ATTTTTGATTGGGAATTTTTTCCCAAATCTGTCGCTGTGGCGCAGAAAGTTGTAGGGACTAGGTGTCCTGCACCATACTTAAAAATAAGTGTATAAGTTTTTTTCGCAAAAAAAATCATTTTTTATATAGTAAAAAGTATTCGTGTGATGGATTTGTTAAATTTCAGAATAAAATTTACTAATACTAATGAACTTTTTTTTCAACAATTATAAAAATAAAAATTGCATCTTCTCATTCAAAAAAAAGATACAACTATAAAATTAAGAGAAAATATAACAAATGTAATGGTCCACATGGTGACAGAGAGTTTTTTTTAATTTTTTAGTAAAATTATCCAAAATGTTAAAATACTGTTAAACTTTGAAATGTATAGGCCCAATAACCAAACAAATTAGAGTAAAAAATTTTCAGGTTTTTTCTCTCTGTGATTCAAATAATAGCCCACAGAGATTTTTTTAAAAATTATTAGTAGAATAAGGATTTATAAGAATTCAAAGTTATGCGATTTTATTATAAAAAAATTTTGATATTTTTTCCTTCAAAAATCTTTTCCTTTTGAAGAAAATGTTTAAATTAATATTAATCTTATGGGAGATTCTACAAGGAGTAAAGGTTCTGAGGAATTAGTTTTCATTTTTTTGACTGCACGTGTATTATGAATTAGTCTTTTTCTTTTATTGGTCCGGCATTTTATTAAACACGAAAACTTTTATAAAATATAATTTATTCAAAAGTTGATTAATTCTAAATATTTCTTTATTTAAACTTGATTATTTTATTTTTTACGATTCTTACGAAAGATACTTTATATTTTCTTTAAAAGGAAATGATTATTGAATTTGCGGTCCGCCGATCAACGATAGAAACTCACTAATAAAAACGTATTAGTATATGAATTTTATAAATAATTGGCATGGAGACAAGTGGTGATAACTATACATGAAGTTGAAATTAAAACCCCAAAGTCGAAATGTTTCGACTTGAGGCAACTACATAGTAAAAATCAGTTTCGACTTCATGTATAGTGATAACTACCACTCTTTTTAATAAATAACACTTACTCGTTGCTATCAGCTATTTCATTTTTTTTTTTGCATTTTTCTTCAAATGTCTTTTTTTTTTATAAAAATAAAAAAAAAAATTATATGGTGCAGACTAAGGGTGCAAACATACAGTGTGTCAAGAAAAAAACGGCGGTGACAAAAAATTGCATATCTCAACAATTACATAACATAATTAAATAAATTTAGATTCGTTTGAAAGATTATTAAATTACCTTGTTAAATAAAAAAAAATAGACATGATATGCTATTGCCAATTTTCTGTAAAGCTAATTCATATCATTTTTTTAAAACTTTGCAAAATTTTTGTCTGAAATTTTAACACGGAAATTTTTAATAATAAGCCTGACACAAAAATATACATAATAATCATACAAAAAATTATACCGGTGTGTAATGAAAGTTCTGGAGATTATATATATAAACTTTCATACTTCCAGATTTTCTAGAATTTTGTCAATTGGAAATAAAAGGAATTTGATTATTTTGAAAAAAACAATTCAATGTGTAAATTTCTTTAATAATTGCTCTAAAGCCTACATAATAACATGCTTCAAAAATTTCATATATTATAATCTAAGATCCTCCGATTCTCCGTTATAATAATTTTGGCTATTTTTTTATTAAAAACAATATTTTTACCAACCGCCGTTTTTTTCTTAACACCCTGTATGAACACTTGAGGGTTTCGATATCAGTACAGCATAAACACGGCAATGCGTCACTTTACATATGCCGTATTATGTATCAAATGCCTAGCTTATTTCACATCAAAAAAATTTATCGACTGGTTTTTTAAGAATAAAATATCCCAAGTCAATATGACTCAAAACTTCTCAGATAATAAAAAACATTGTTTTGATGATTAATCATTCAATGTTTTTTTCATTATATATATACTTCTGCAATAGTAAAAGAATCATCGTCGTCTATTAATATTGATAAATTAATTTGAACATTATTTTATCAATGAATGAAAAAAAAATTTGATCTATGTAATTTTTATTGCGAAAAAAAAAAAAATACAAAGAATAATAAAAATTATTCAGGGTTACAACTCTCATCACCGTCGTCGTTTACCACTGTTTCATTCTCATTATTATCATCATCATTTTCAATGTTGTCCGAATTTTCTACTGCATCCGTATAACCTTTATTGTTGCTGACAACTCTGTTCATTGTATGTGTCAGTTTCGTTGCTCTTGATGTACTTGATTCTTCCTGTGGGACATGGTCTGCACTTCTTCTTTTTTTATCTGACTCCCTAATGTGATTTGTGGTCTTTCTCTTACTGTTGGAACTCATGAATTGTTCTTCAAAATCCGGATGTTTGGATTTTAATGCTTTGCGTGGGGATTTCTTATCATCGTTGTTGTTGGTCTTTTCAACCCTCGGGTAATTTCACTTTATCAATTATTCAAATAATTATATAGGCGGGCTTGGTATAAGTAAGTGTTAAAGTCAAGATCTATTTGCAAATCAAGTTTCCAAAATGAGCGTTTATTATTATAGACGGGTTTGATCAAAGTAAATCTTAAAGTCGAGATCTATGAAGCTGTTTGTAAAATATATTTAATTAACATTTATTATTATCAATTATTCAATAACTATATAGGTGGGTTTGATCGGTCAAGATCTATATAATTAGATCGTTAATAGTGTCACCGATTAAATTTGGGAGAGCGTATTTTAATTGGTGATAACAATTATTTTTGTTTTTGCGTGGATCAGAATGAATAGGGGATCAATGAATTGATTTTGTTATTAGCGAATAATTTTGTTTAAAGAAGATAAAAGTTTAAATAAGGTATTTATTTTATTTATTTAGTTCTTAGTCGAAACTAATTAACTTGTTAGAAAGTTACTTTACAAGTACATTGAATTCAAGCTCCTTATATACAATTCAATTAATTAGTAATTCTAATTTCCCAAAATTGAGATATTCTCCCAATATTGAGAAGTTAACCCATAATTGTGACGATATCTCAAAATTGCGACGATATCCCAAGACGATTCTTTCTTAAATAAGTTAAATAAATTACGAAATAAAAATAAAGCGTATTACGAAAATAGATGTAACACGGATAAAATTAATAAAATAACTAAAATATAATAATAATAATAAAAATTAAGAATTTCGGAATTAGTTAAATTCAGCCAAAAGAGCGTCCAAATTTAATTCCGGTAACAATAGTTAATAATGGAATTTTATTACATGCAAAAAAAAAATTTTTTTGAGTTGTAAATTTTGTTTTATTAAATAAATTTGTTTGATTTTTTCATTCATTGTTCATGTTTCCTCTTGATCGTATATCTTAAATTGGTCACGTTTGCAATCATTTTGACATTCGTTATATTAAGGTTATTTTGATTATATCGAGAGATATGGTCAAGAGAAGAGTTAGAAAGATAGTTATTCTTCAACCAAGTCGAAAACCAACCCTTTAAATACATTTTCAAGTAGTACGGTTTAATTTATTAGACTATTTTAAATGGTTGCTTCCAATTTCTTAAATTCGAACTATTTGTTAATGTTAATGAAACAATTGTTCGTGAAGTGATTGTTGACAAAATGAATCAAACCCACATTAAATGTTTTATTTTTAAATTCATGATTTTAATTGGTCAATAAATCAATAATTGCGTGGGTTAAAATTTTGTGTTATCAAATTGTATAATAATAATAATAATAATAATAATAATAATAATAATAATAACGAACAATTATTTCATGTGCCGAATGTAGAAGGTTGAGTTCCGTGCACTGAAATGGCCTTGAGGAATTTCTCTACGAAAAAATAACAAAAAAAAATTTTGGACGGCTGTCCTATTTACATGTTTCGAATTTAATAAAATAGACTATTGTCTTGGCCCGAGTGATGTTATTTTTTTGCAGAAGACGCACCCAACTTAATTGAATTTTTATTCTCATGTAGCATGGTATGTGTGTTTTGTGACACGAAAAGCTCACATTGCGTTCTCAGTTATAAGCTTTTTAATTTGGAAAATTGGGAAAATCATATACACTGCATGATCACCTTTTTTCCACATGATAAGCATTTATCATGCAATAATAAATAATATCTTTTTCCAACCGAAGAGAACTGTTTAGTAAGAATAGATTTTGTTATTTTACATTTTAAGAAGAGCTTTTAATTTCAACAATTGAATTAATTATTGCTCTTTGTTATTTTATCATATGTTCTACTAATTAAGAATACTTTTTGGTGGTGGCAAAGCATCTTTTTTGTTTTAATATTTAGTTGGTGTGATGAAAATCATATAGTTGATTTTTTTGTTTACTTTATAAGAAAAGCATCATTTATTATTAATTAATTGAATTGATTATTGTTTAAAATGCTAAAACATTTTTACTTATTATTGTATCATACCATTGACAATTGAAGTGATTATTTGTTTTTGAAATACGAATTAGAATATCCAAATTAAATAATAATAATTGCAAATAATCACAAATACAAAAATAATCTCTTATAAAAAAAATGTCTTTATTTGCTTGATATTTGTAATTATTTGTTTTTGTAATTATTTAATACCTGAAATAATGAATA